CCGAATTGTATGCTGGAACTGCAGACAGTTCGATCACGTCTTTAGAGACTGCCTGTCCAAGGAGCGGAAAATATTCTGCTATAGGTGTGGAAAGCCGGACACTTTCTGCTCGCAGTGTGAAAACTGTCCGGGAAACCCCAGAGGGAGCGCGATGATGGCGGGACAGACGCGTTCCGGGACGGCGACCGCGGGAAAGCAGGAGAGGGGCACCTACCAGAGCCAATAATCATTGGAAAGGAGACGGAGATTTGGAATAAGGATCAGGATAAGGCTAATTATAATAATAGTATAAGCAAAGGAGGAACACTTAGGGGCTTACCATACGAAGAACGTGTTCGGGCATACATGTCGGCCCGAAATAGAATTTTTGGTGAGCGACAGCTGGAGGGGATGACGCTAGCCACCCGGAGAATGGTGAAGGTACGTGCGCGCTTCCGCAGACGCAGGATTACCAGGCGCCAGGTCGTCGAAGCGGTGAGACGGGAGGACAGTATAGACCCACGAGTATTCGCCGAAGTGGAGGTCGCTGGGGCCAAGATGAAAGGGTTGCTGGACACGGGGGCCTCAGTCAGTCTGTTGGGACAAGGATGCCGGGAGTTAGTGGAGAAGCTGGGATGGGAAGCGCGGCCATACGAATCGATGGTGAGGACAGCGGCGGGTGCCAATCGCCCAATTTTAGGTCGCGTTGTTCTGCCTGTGAAATACGGGAATAGAAAGAAAGATATCGTATTTTACATGTGCCCGGACCTGCGACAGGAACTATACCTGGGAATCGACTTCTGGCGAGCCTTCGAGATCGCACCAGAGCTGCTCGGTCCGGCCAGAAAGTCCGAAACACCACCAGAGGCATCTGAGGTAACGGTAGAGAACCCAGAGGTGGCTTATTACCGGGACGACGACGACTGCGTGACGGATCCGGAAATGTGGGACCTGGACAACGATCAGAGGAGTCAGTTGGAAAGCGTGAAGCGCAGATTTCTCCAATTTGAGAAGGATGGCCTAGGGAAAACTCACCTGCTGCAGCACCGAATTCAGCTGATCGAGGGAGCAGAACCCGTGAAAGACAGACATTATCCGCTGTCCCCGGCCAAACAGGAGATCGTGTGGGCCGAGGTGGATAAAATGCTAAAGTTGGGCATCATCGAGGAGAGTGACAGCCCCTGGAGCAACCGGACGACGGTGGTGATGAGGCCTGGGAAGAACAGGTTTTGCTTAGACGCCAGGAAATTAAACAGTGTGACGGTAAAAGACGCTTACCCGCTTCCATGCATCGAGGGCATCCTATCGCGAATCGACGAGACTCATTTTATCTCTAGCGTCGTCCTTAAGTTCGCGTTCTGGCAAATAGAGATGGAGGAGAAGAGCAGGGCGTATACGGCGTTTACTGTACCAGGGAGGCCGCTGTACCAGTTCCGCCACATGCCATTCGGGCTCTGCAACGCCGCTCAACAACTTTGCAGGCTCATGGACAAGGTATTCCCGGCGAATTTGAGGTCCAACGTATTCGTATACCTAGACGACTTGCTGATAATATCGGCGGATTTTCCAACGCACTTAAAATACTTGGAATTGGTGGCCGAGTGTCTGAGGAACGCGAACCTCACCATAGGCATGGCGAAGTCGAAATTCTGCTTCCGCAACCTAAACTACCTGGGTTTCATCATAGGCGGCGGGACGCTGCGCATGGATCCGGGAAGGGTAGAAGCGATCCGGAACATCCCGAATCCGAGGACGGTCAAGGAACTACGAAGCTTCTTAGGTACGGCGGGGTGGTACCGCCGATTCATAAAGAACTTCGCCGAGATATCGGTACCGTTGACTGATGCCCTTAAGAAGAGAACGGGTAGATTTGTGTTGAGCGACGAGGCCATAGAAGCCATAGAAAGCTTGAAGTTAGCCCTCACCACAGCCCCGGTGTTAGTTCACGCGGATTTTCGAAGACCATTCTTCATCCAATGCGACGCATCTCACTACGGAGTAGGAGCCGTGTTGTTCCAGCTAGACGACGAACAACAGGAGAGGCCGATCGCATTCTTCTCGGCCAAACTCAACAAGCACCAGATCAACTATTCGGTGACCGAGAAGGAATGCCTAGCCGCCAAACTGGCCATACATCGATTGCGGCCGTACGTGGAGATGATGCCGTTCACGGTAATCACCGATCATGCGAGTCTGCAGTGGCTTATGAGTCTCAAAGACTTGAGCGGGAGATTAGCCAGGTGGTCCCTAGAACTGCAAGCGTTCCCTTTCTCCATGCAGTACCGCAAGGGAGCCGACAACGTCGTCGCAGACACATTGTCCCGAAGCGTGGAAGAGGTCGAACTAACCCCGGAAGATCTGTTGGGATTTCAGACCCCGGAGTTCGAGAGCACCGAATATCGAGAGCTGATAAGAGAGGTGATGAGCCAACAAGGGAAGTTGCCGGACCTTAGAGTGCAGGACGGACTTCTGTTCAAGAGGACCGTGCACGAGAGCTTGGAGGATGAGGTCGAAGGCACCAGTTGGAAGCTCTGGGTGCCGGAGTCGCTGACGGCAGGACTCATCCAACAAGCACACGCGGACGAGACGTCGGCTCATGGAGGCATGAGGAAAACGCTGCACGCGCTGCGCAGGCGATATTATTGGCCCAACATGGCCATACAAGTCAGGGACTATGTTCGGAAATGCGATACATGCAAGGAGACCAAGGCACAGAACTACCGAATGCAGGTCGGAATTGGGGAAGAAGTGCGCACCGACCGCCCCTTCCAGAAGCTATATATCGACTTCTTGGGGAAGTATCCACGGTCGAAACGAGGGCATGCGTGGATATTCGTCGTCGTAGACCACTTCTCGAAGTTTACCTTCCTGAAGGCCATGAGGGAAGCCACCGCGGCGGATGTCGTGAACTTCCTAGTGCATGAGGTGTTCTTCAAATTTGGCGTGCCGGAAGTGATCCATTCGGATAATGGACGACAATTCGTGTCAAAGTCGTTCGATGCGATGGTCCAGGCGTTTGGCATTACTCACCTGCGCACACCAGTGTATTCGCCTCAGAGCAACGCCGCCGAACGCGTGAACCGCACAGTGCTGTCAGCAATCCGAACCTACCTGGGTCAGGATCATCGGGAATGGGACGCGTACCTACCAGAGGTGGAAGTGGCGATCCGGAATGCGGTCCACAGCGCTACGGGAGTCACTCCGTTCTTCGCGGTCTTTGGACAGCAGATGTACCTGAATGGTTCCAGTTACAAACTGGCCAGGAAGCTGAGATCATTGGCCGACCACAGTATTTCTGACCTTGACGCAAAGGACAGACTGGCTGTAATCCGAAGCCAAGTCAAGGACCACCTGCACACCGCATACGAGCGAAGTCGCCAACGGTACGACCACCGCGCGCGACAGCTCCATCTGGAACCGGGACAGGAAGTGTGGAGGCGCAATTTTGCACTAAGCAGCTTCGGGAAAGCCTTCAATGCCAAGTTCGCCCGGAAGTTCTTGAAGAGCCGCGTCGTCCGAGCCGTGGGAACCAACGCCTACGAGTTGGAAGATCTCCAGGGACGCGTGCTAGGCGTCTTCCACGCAAAAGATATACGAACATAATCGTAATTTGCTCACCTCCTTGCCAGGCAACGGCGGCGGCAGCGCCAGTCCCCCCTTTTTTTTGGGTCAGCGAAAAAAATATAGATTACTTGTCGTGGGTGTGGCCTACGTTGGGCATCGTTATTAGCCGGCTGGGTCAATCCATGAAATGCGCACGCAGATTCCTTGTAACTGTCCTTCATGTCGTTACAATAATCTGCGTGGTGATGTTGCATTTGACGTTATCGGCAGTACCGAGGGTTACTCAGTTGGTTGCGTGCGATATTATCGGCCACGCCGATATCTTTTGTCATATGGTCGGAGTATGCGGGGTGAAGCTGGGCCCACGGCGGAGCCCAAATTTTTGAAGGGTGGCAACGCCAGACATGCGATCCACGGCGCCAAAAGCGACGATTGCTATTGGCCGCCCGGTTCGCTCTTAAAGGGAATACGAGGAGAGTGGATCGCATGCCCTTGGATATGCCCTTGGCCTTCATTTGGGCCGTTGACCCAAAAAAATGCAGCTGTGCAGATGAGCAGCAACGGTGCCCGCCTCGCAAATGTATGCGTGTGCCGAAATTCGGCACCGATGGAGTGGCTGCCCAAAATGTCGGGGAGTTCGATTTGTTCAGCGGTTAACGGCGGGCGTGCCAGCTCGGAGTGAGCATAAAAGTTGTACATTGCATTTCTGCTCGACAGAGTCGAATTTTTTCCTTCTGCAAATTAAGCCGGCGCATAATACAAATGACTTAACAGACCGATAAAAGTTTTGTTTTTGTGTTCTTTTTTGCCATTTAATAAATATATATAAATCAAACCGCTCGAGTCAAAAAAAAAAAATATAATAAAAAAATTAAAAGAGACTTAAAAACTTAAGTGCGACGAGAGACGAACCAAATAAGCCAAAATTTAACGGCTCCGGCACCAAGGAGACCAGCTCGTGCACCAGAGAGGCCCACGAAACATTCAAAGGCCAGGATTCAGTGCAGCGGCGCAAACCAGCCATATCCGCGACGCCGCCAGCAAGCGTCGGCGCGAACCTGAAGGCGACGAGACGAGCCACCAACGACCGGGCTCCAACAACGAAGAAGCGGCCACAGGCGAGACCCCGCCCACATCCACCGAGTGAGTCCGTTCCATTGCTTTGCCCATCCTCGTTCGAACCCCTGGCAGAGTCAGAAGAAGACTCCTAATTGCACTCCCTGAAAAGGAGTAGATTTTCTTTTTTATCGTTAAATTTAGTTAATTTGTATTTATAAAATATATTTATACATACATAGGCACTTACGCCGAGCTTCACTTTAGAGTGCGAACGGTGAGGGAAACTCCAAAGGTGATGCATCTGCGCCTGTAAAATATAAAAATCTAAAATTAATACTTGCGCGAACTATGCTCACATACTTACCCAATTTGAATTTACGCATTTATATCGCCCCTTACCACCCCCAGAGAGCTCTTTAGGTAGGGTAAGGTAGAATTAAGCGATTTAATACATACAATACATAATACGTGACATACCCAGTTTTAAGTAATTGTGTGGGCCATTGTTCCTAAAGCGGCGCAACGATTGCCTCTAAAGTGCCTCCTTGCGCGCTCCTTTTGCGGCGACTAGCAATATCCTTGTAGTATTTCGTCGCCTGTTCCATTCAGTGTTGAAAAAAAAAGAAAAAAATTAATTCTATAAGATAAGAGAAAAATTTAGGAATTAATGCGCTTTGTCAATTAGTATAAATATATGCAACAGTAATACGCACCTGTGAAGTTAATGAATTATCCGCTTGCATGAGATCCTAAACAGCTGCAAGATAAATGCCATAAGCAATGATTATATTTGTTATACATTTTAAGAAAACGCAACCAATTATACGCACCTATTGAAAGAAATCATGTCCGGCTAAAATAATATTGTTGGGGAGAGTAGGCATTATGGCCGACACGGGCTAATATAGGCCATCTAGTGGCCAAAATGAGGGAGACGAGTGGAGGTGATCGTCTCATGGTAGGGCGGGTACGCTGGGTCCGGAACCGGGGCCCGATCTGGAAGAGTAAGGTGGATAAATAGTGTTTTTTTGTTAATTTATATTGAGTGTCTTACCTTTGTTGTTTACATTTTCATAGTTGTTACAGCTGTGTATTTTGTTCATGAGTCAGTAGTTCCGAATATTTGTTATCGATTATGCGGTTCATTTTGAGTAGTGTTGTGTGAGTCTGTTTTGCTACAGATGTGTAGCTTTGTTGTTATCGATTGTGCGGACTGCGGGCCAGGGATGGGACCACACCCAGAGAATCCGATGAGCCAGCCGGCGCGGCCCACTGAGAAACAAGCAGTTCCGTAACAATAATGTATATTGCGACAAAGTGTCACAAAGTATATTTTATATAGATACACTAAAATATGTTGAGTACACATACTACACCTCCCTTTTTAGAGAAATTACGTAATATTCTATGGAGTTATTGTTATTATTATTATATTAGTTTACTTTTTTTTGGGCTTAAAATGTTGTGTATTTTTAAAATATTTTTATTGTTTTTATTTTTGGTATATTTATTTTTTTGTGTTTTCTTATGTATATGTGAGTTGTCTATGAAAAATATTCTCTTTTTATACCCTGAACCCATTAAAAATAGGTATAAGGGTATATTGTATTTGTGCAAAATCCAAATGTATGTAACAGGCAGAAGGAAGCTTCTCCGACCCCATAAAGTATATATATTCTTGGTCAGCATCAATAGTCGAGTCGATCTAGCCATGTCCGTCTGTCTGTCTGTCCGTCCGTCCGTCCGTATGTATGAACGCAATCATCTCAGAGTTATAAATGTAGGTGCTCCTAGTGCCTGCGCAGATCGAGTTTGTTTCCGATAATCAATAACTTTCTCCGTTTACAAGCAATCGATAAGAATCGATATCGATTCCCTGTTTATTGAGCAAATTGGGTAATTAATAAGAGCTAAAATTACCAAACATGATATACCTACCATATACCTACGTTAATAACCCAACTTATATTGCCAACCAATCTAAGTCACAATTTTAATGCAATTGACTCTTTGAGAATACACAAATATTGTATGGTACAGTAAGATATACTTTAGAAAATTTCATAAAGATCGGTTAAGAGAAACCCAAAGTTCTATGTAGCTGCGCAATTGGATGACACAGCTAGCGAAAACATCAAGAATCTAACAGCATTTTAGTTTTTTTTTTTACTTAAGTAGAGGCATAGCAAGTGTTGCGGTCTGTCGCGATTTCGAGACCTACCTGGGAAACTATTTTTATACCCTGAACCCATTAAAAATGGGTAAAAAGGGTATATTGTATTTGTGCAAAATGCAAATGCATGTAACAGGCAGAAGGGAGCTTCTCCGACCCCATAAAGTGTATATATTCTTGGTCAGCATCAATAGTCGAGTCGATCTAGCCATGTCCGTCTGTCTGTCTGTCCGTCCGTCCGTCCGTATGTATGAACGCAATGATCTCAGAACCTATAACAACTAGAGACTTCAAATTTTAGATGTAGGTGCTCGTAGTGCCTGCGCAGATCGAGTTTGTTTCAAATAATCGATAACTTACTCTGTTTCCAAGCAATCGATATCAAAATCCTGTTTATTGTGCAACTTGGGTAAATAATATGAGCTAGAGTCACCAAACATGATATGTTGCTTCTAGAATATTATATATATGTGTCAAGTATCTTTCATTTTTTACCTATCACCATTTCCCTGCTACCACCCCAGAGCTATAAATCTAGTTACTAACCCAAATTTTATTGCCAACCAATTAAAGCCACAATTTAAATGAAATTGACATTTTAAGAATACACAAATATTCTATAGTACAATAAGATATAGTGTAGAAAATTTCATAAAGATCGGTTAAGAAAAAAACAAAGTTATATGCAACTGCGCAATTGGATGGGGCAGCAGCCTTAAGAATTTCTGTAACATGCACACACGCATTCATGCGCGTCTGCTGCGCATTCTAACAGCATGGTAAATGCGACTTTTTTCTGTAATGCTATTTTAGTTCCTTTTTTATCATAAGTATTTAATTGTTGGTGTGGCTGTTGAGTAGAGACATAGCAAGTGGTGCGGTCTGTCGCGAGCTCAAGCCCTACCGGAGAAAGCATTTCTTTTTTGCTGGTGTGCCTGTTGAGTAGAGTCGACAGCAAGTAATCCGGTCAGTTGCGAGTTCGAACCCTGCCAAAGGAACTTTTTTTTTTAACTTATTTTGTGTTGGAATAAAAGGGTTCAGGGTTTTGCCTAGTCGGGAGCTCCCGACTAGAACCTCTTACTTGTTTTTTACTGGTTTAATTTTGGTTCTTTGATAAACGATACGTCTTTTGTTATGCGGAGCGTCTGCTCCGTTTAGTTCCTTTATTAATTCTCATTTATGCTTTTATTCATGAAGTAAACTTAAGCTAAATACAAAATGTTCTTATCTTAGGCATAAACATAAGATATATATATAGCGTAACCACTGGCCCGCTGGCGACAAATTGCAAGTGGTTGATCAAGTTTCAAGTGCGCTGGAATGCTTATATGTTTATGTGTGGTTGGCTTTATATATTTAATTATGTATATTGCGACAAAGTGTCACAAAGTATATTTTATATAGATACACTAAAATATGTTGGGTATACATACTACACCTCCCTTTTTAGAGAAATTACGTAATATTCTATGGAGTTATTGTTATTATAATTATATTAGTTTACTTTTTTTTGGGCTTAAAATGTTGTGTATTTTTAAAATATTTTTATTGTTTTTATTTTTGGTATATTTATTTTTTTGTGTTTTCTTATGTATATGTGAGTTGTCTATGAAAAATATTCTCTTTTTATACCCTGAACCCATTAAAAATAGGTATAAGGGTATATTGTATTTGTGCAAAATCCAAATGTATGTAACAGGCAGAAGGAAGCTTCTCCGACCCCATAAAGTATATATATTCTTGATCAACATCAATAGCCGAGTCGATCTAGCCATGTCCGTCTGTCTGTCCGTCCGTCCGTCCGTCCGTATGTATGAACGCAAGAATCTCAAAACTTATATGAGCTAGAGACTTGCAATTTTAGATGTAGATGCTCCTAGTTCCCGCGCAGATCGAGTTTGTTTTTGATAAACGATAACTTACTCCGTTTCCAAGCAATCGATAAAAATCTATATCGATATCCTGTTTTTTGGGCAATTTTGGTAAATAATAAGAGCAAGAGTCACCAAACCTGACATATAGCTTCTAAAATAGAATATATATATGCATTTGATGTTGGAAGAAGAGGGTTCAGGATATCCCCTAGTCGGGAGCTCCAGGCTAGAACCTCTTACTTGTTTTTTGTTTGTTATATAATTGTTTTGTTTTTTTTTTTTCGTTTATTTATGTTTTGTTTCTCGCAAAAAGAAGTTCACTTTTCAATTTTTTTCTATTACATTTTATTTAGTTGTTGATCAGACCATTTCCTTGAACATATTCAGTTATTATACTGTTTTAACTGTACTCTCTTTTTATTTCGTTTGCTATCTTTAATTAAAATATTGTCATTAACTTATATTTTTTCTACTGTATATGGTCCTAAATATACTGGATTAACTTATGACCTCCTGAATTTCTTAGCAATACTTAAAGTATATATATTCTTGATCAGCACCAATAGCCGAGTCGATCTAGCCATGTCCGTCTGTCCGTCCGTCCGTCCGTATGTATGAACGCAAGGATCTCAGAACATATATGTTACATACATGTATATTATTAAATTACGTATGTAGAAAAGAGTAAGCATTATCTTAACAAAATCGGATTGTGACATTGCTATTGATACCCGAAATAATATATGTATGAGGTATATGACCAAACAACTGGTAAAAACGGTAGTATATAATGAATGTTATGCACATTATGCACATAATTTGCCACGTTCACAGCCGGGAAATATGCGAAGTAGACATCCGATTTCATCCAAAGGTCGTTTAAGAAACATAAAGAAGGAAATATCTCTCTTATACCAATACAAGCAAAATCAACTACAGCATTGCATTTCTTTCTGATTATGGTTGACGGAACGATTTGGAACCAAGTAATAAATATTATTATTTTACCCCGAAAGGTGCCATGACCAATAAGCTCTACATTGATATCGGCAATGTTTGTTGAAGCATGCAAGCCTCTGTATTCCAACACTGAAAGGCAGGTTCTCCTTTAGCTGGAAGCAGTCCCATCGGCTCGGATTCATGCGTAAGTTCAATAGAATTGACAGAAAGTATAGGAATAAATAATAAGGAAGAATAAATAAGGAAAAAATATGAATATACTAAAACTATTATTTCTAGCAAATTCCTTAGGTTTTAAGAGCTTGCAGTCACCAAATTTAACAATTAGCTTTTAGAATAAGATATATATATATATCAAGTATCTTTCAATTTATAGCTATGGATTGATTGGAAGTACCCACCAATGTAGCCCACAAATTAAATTCTGTTTTCTTTTTGAGAATAAACGGTTATTTTATATAGTAAAATAAGATCTAATGCTAAACATTTCATCGAGACTTGTTATGAAACACAGAAATTTTTAAGGATCTTCTGTTAAAAATTGCATCAAAATCTTTTAGAAATACAGAAGTTATTAAAGAAAACATGTGGTTATATATATATTGGCAGGCCACTTGTCAGCGGAAGCTAGCGTAAATTGCTTAAATTGTTCTTTTAAGAATATAATATATAAATAGCAGCACAGAAAAGACTACAATCGCAAATATAATGCTGTATATAAAATTCACTAAAGGCGCGTTTAGAATATTTGTGTACTCTCAAAAAGTTAATTGCATTAAAATTGTGGGTTAACTTGGTGGGCAATACAAGTTGGTTTATTAACATTCTATATCTATATTTACATTTCTAGAAGCTACATGTCAAGTTTTGTGTCTCCACCTCTTATTATTTACCAAAATTGTTCAAAAACAAGATTACGATAACGATTTTTATCGATTACTTGGAAACGGGGTAGTTATCTATTAGCGGAAACAAACTCGCACTGCGCGGTCACTAGGAGGGCCTACATACCAAATTTCAAGTCTCTAGCTCTTGTAGGTTCTGAGATCCTTGCGTTTATACATATG